CAAAAGCTGTATTTTTTCTCAGTGTTGGCCAAGACAAAAGCTTTAAGATTCTATTCCAACTTCTGACCAGTATGTGTGAACAGGCTCATCATTTGCTTTGAAGCCTAAACCATTTTCTAGCTCCATATTTTAAAAGGGCCTTCCAGAAGTGAAAGTGTGATTACCTAGGACTATCTAGTGCAAGCAAATAATCTCAAGCAGGTATCAAATGGTATGAAAAAATACACAGATGGTTACCAGGAATCTTTCTTTCTTAGTGGAACAGAAAAGTTAATTTATACACTAGGAAACAGAAAATAATTTCATTGCTCTCAGAAGAAAAAAGACAAATGTTGAGTGTTACTGAAGATACTGAAGATACAGCTGAAGATACTGCAGCTGAGTTTCTGACCCTCAAGAGTGGGTTAAAACTGCTCCGTGGTAGCTGAAATCCTGTTATTAAGATCCCTAACCAGACAATTACAGTTTACCCTGTACTCAGAAAGCAGTCTTTTTTTAATGGATGAGTATATGAAATTTTATCTTTGTCACACTAACTGTTCTGGTCATTTAATTGGAAAGAAGATGCTGAAGATTCCTGGGAACAATCCCAAAAAATGAGATCAGCTTTGAATGAGGGATTTACACTGCTCAATTCTGACACTCAGCTTATGCAGAGTTTTGTTTTTAGAGCACCAAACTCTGTTCAGGAGGACCACACACTGCACAGGTGCCACAACTGCCTGCACTGTAGTACATGCCTAACATGTCCAGTGAACAAACAGAAGTGTTCTGCTGTGTTAAACACAGGCAAAGTTCTTGGGGAAAAGTAACAACTTTATATTGTTTTGTTGTTTACTGTTTTGGTTTGGCTTTTTTTTGCTAACAATGTCAGTGCTCTTCCTTTTTTTCTGTGCATCTCAATCCTTTCTTGTTGCCTCAGACTAAGTGTTTAGGTTTCTGAAGGTCCTCATTCAGTGACCCAGCTGCCTCTGTCCCAGGTACAAACTTTTTTGGGGCTCCCTACAAGGGCAGAGGACTGCAATGGTTGTCACACTTTTGGCTTTGGATCTTACACAAAATGCAGCTTTGTCCTTTATTCTTTTATCCCTGTGAAAGTCACGGAAGTGTTTGTAAGAAAATGTTTTCTCTTTCACTTGTGATACAGACTTTGTAGATCAGCTGAAATTGCCTGGATGTTCTAAACTTATAAGCATCATCCCACTAGAGATGTGTTCTTGAATGTTAAATTTAGGCTAATTGGAGGCATATCCTTTAATTTAGCAAGCTGAGGTTACTAATACAGATCAAGAGCTAAAAATTAGCAGTGGAGCTGATGTATGCTAAATGCCTAAGTGATATCTTAACCTATAATTATACAAGTTCTGTTAATAGTGAATAATTCAAATCGTCAGGGATTTCAATAGTCTAATGGGCTGTAGTTATTTCCAATTTACATTGTGGTTGCTAGGTTTCATTAAAATGAGCAAAAGGCTGCATAGCGTAGCAGAAGAAAATTGGTGTTTGAAGTTATCACCCAGAAATCAAAACATGAAATTTAAATTAGAAGGTGTCCAAGCAACACAATGACACCAAAGCCTAGCACTGATAATGAGAGTAGGAAGACAGGGAGTTTGCAGGGATTATTAAAGGAAGACAGCACTACTAGCAACACGCTCCGTAACAGCGATACCTTAAATTCCACTCTACTGTATGTAGGGAGTTCAAAACATATTACAAACCTCCATTAAGCCTTGCTATGTTCTTTTGAATTATTTAAATTTTGTTATCACTGATTTGCAGGTGGCAGGCTGAGGCACGATAAGGCACAAGGCTTATCTGGAGTCACGGGATGACTCAGTAGGACACGAGAGCTGCAGCTGGGAGCTGTAGCCTCCCTGCTAGCCCACTGATGGTATAGCTACCCCATACCATTGCTCTGGGGGCTGCTCAGCCAGCCCCCTCCTCCACCAGCCACTGCCACTTTCAGCCTCAAACCACAGAGTTCAGCCCTCAGCTGGGCTGTGACAGTGTCTTTGGGAGGCTGCTGTACACCAGATCACCCAGAGCAACATGGGTTAAAGCTACTTCTAGAGAGCCAGAGGGATTTGTTATTCATCTGGATCACTGCAGACACCTGACTTGCAGTGCAGTCCCAGAAACACATCAGCATGGTGGCTAGGATGGCAAATCACAGTGGGGAGGAAGAGCAGGAGCTTGGAATGACCAGCTCCAGCCAGAGCTGGCACCAGGGAAAGCGCAGCATGGCCAGCCATGACCACACGTGTTTCTGCGGACCTTTTGTGAGAGCATGTGTACAATCCCAAACCCAAACCCAAACCCAAACCCAAATGCCAGCCATGGCCTCCTCTGAATCAAGCCCACCCAGGTTTGAGAGTAAGGCCAGGTTTTGCTGACTCAAGGCTTACACCTGTCAATGTGACTCATTGCTGTGGTCTCACCCACCTCCTGCTCTTCTAAGCCATACTGTATGCCAGTGAACTATTTTTGGAACAACAGGGTTAAATTTGATTACTTAATAGTTAATAAAAATGCCACAAAATAGGAGTGAGATGTGTTAGTTACAATTTGGTAAAAGTCAAGCTGTCTGACACATTTTGATATCTAAATTTGACTTTCAATTTCTTTAGAAGTTCTTCTGGAGCATACTTTAAATATAGAGTATCTCTGCTTCTTAAGAGCAGATTAACAACTAAAATAAGTGTTCTTTTCTACCTAAAGATAAACTATTTCCTTAATGTTTAGTTAGTTGTTCATGATGCTTTTTCAAAATTCAGGCTCAAATTCCCCATTTGTATATAATTTCAGTTTCTGAATCTACATTTAAGTATCTGAATTTTTCTAAAGAGACAGAAATACAGAGAGGTTTTTTTGGTCTTCTTCTAAAATTTAAACACTTTGAAGCTCTGCAGTTTCTACATTAGTGAATAAGCCATGGGATAAAGAGTTATAATTAAGTAGTTATTTCTTTGTAAAATAGGCCTTTCCAACAGCTTCTTTTTATTTAATTCTGAATAAAAGTAACATCTTACATCTCAGAAATAGACATATCCATTTTGCAACATATTGCTAAATATCTTTAATTTACGTAAGAAGCAACAGCAAAACTCCACGTACATTATGTTAGCTAAATTATTATTATTATGTAATTACATAATGGAGAAATAGCAAATTCAAACTCTTAAAATGCTGATCACAAAGTATATTAAATTATAGCATTGCCTCAACGGCAGAGCAGGTGTGCTCAGTGGCACACCCTCCAGCATGCAGACGATGGGATAAACTGGAGCACAACACGGCTCTTCTCCAGGAAGCTGAAGGAGATATTGCAGACCTTTGCTGTGTCCTGAACCAGGACTAGAACCCCTTCAGGGCTCATGGCTGTAGGTCTAAGGAGAAGCAATATCTAGTGATTGACTGTAAATACACATTTCACTAAGTAATGAATTAATGTGCTTTTGTGAGAAGGTTCCCTCTGAAACTGCAGGTAGAAAGAAATCCTTCCCAATCCTGCTTTAACATGCAGCAGACAACAGAGAGTCAGCAGGGGCAGATTTGGCTCAGGAACATGTGGTGCATCCATCAGTGACTGCGATGCCCAAAGTCCCTGTAGCCTTGCCCTGCAAGCTATGAGTATTCTTGAGCAAACCACATCAGCCTCCCAGCAGTCCAACAGGACAGTAAGAACCTATAAGAACCACATACTTCAATAATTCACTGGCTGGAAAATGCTTTCAGATTGACAGATGCCTTGTTACTACAGAGTCATGTTAAGCAATAACAACACAAATCAATAAAAATCATCAAATAATTAAGAATCTTCAGTCACTTAACACCCACTGCAACTACCATTAGCAAGAGGTTTGAGGGCTGTTCATAAATCTCTTTAGCATATTATAAATTCCCCATAGAGCACTCAGATGCCCCAGCTGTGGTGATTTATGCTGCAAACACTGCAACCCTGTCCCTGTACTATTAACTGTAATGGTTTCACATTTAAAAATTGTGTCCTGGGAATATGGCTGAGGACACAGCACACTGGAGACGCATTAGTGAGAAGAGATGTAGACAGAGCGTGCAGGAGACCAGACCGTGACTCACCACATAACCCGGAGGAACTTATTTACCTTCTCTTTTTAAGTGTAACCTTCAGTGTAAGAAATGTGTGTCAAAATTTAATCATTTCATGGACTGTTATGTAGTCTGATTAATGATATTTAGCGAGCACTTGGAGATCCCTGCATAAAGGTTGGGTTTTTAGTCAATCTGTTATTTCTGCCTTCAGAGTTTTTATTCCTTGTGTCAGGTCCCAGAGTTTAAAGGAGTTCTTTCTCACTCTCTGCATGCACTTTGTGAAACTGGCTGCTGGTGTCAAATGCCAGCATATTCACAGGGCGTAAACCATCTGGTTTTGCTGAAACTAAATATTCCCATGTTTACTGAGGAAAATAGATGCAGACACTTTCAGTTCTTGCAGCTGTTCCTTCCTGGGAAACAGTAGGAGAAGATTTTTTTCTCTCCAAAGCAGAGGAATAGTAAGCTTGATTGACATCCTGCAAACTGCAGCTCTTGCAGTCCCAAATTATTTTCCTTGTTTTGCTTCAGAAGTCCTTCCCCCTTCCTCACTTGGGGAGTAACACCTCAGCAAGTGTTGTGTATTTCTCATAGTTTGTGGGCAGTAAGACAGGCTGTCAGGGGAATTGAGATTCTATCACATGCTAATAAACATAATTTAAAGAAAATAAAACAAAACAATGCTTCTCACACTTTGAAATATGACACAGAGAGATTAAGTAACTTGTGATACAAAACCCTGGTTATGCTTCACCTTGTTCCTATTTTGCATGCAGCTTCTGGGGGGCTCTCTACTGCCTTCCAGGCTCTAACTCACCTGGGAGCTGTCAGGATAGGGCAGGGAGAGCTGCTCTTTTTTAAAAAATGAGATTTTCAATATAGTTCTTACTTACTATATCTATTTTAGTTTTTTTTTACTGTTTCAGCATTGTTTTTTGACACAAACAATCTGTTTCCTGGGAACATCAAGACCTGCCCTGCCCTGCCTTTTAAATATGCATAAAAGGTAATGATGGCATAACTACTTTCATAGGAATCAAGGGTCAGTATTAATCTACAAAACAATCTTGTTCTTCAAAAAATATTATTGCCTTGAGGAGTATAGGGTTTGTGTCTCAATCAAAGACCTCATGATATGCTTCAAACAAAAACTATATTAAGAGAGAGAGAACAGCAGTACCACTGAATGATTGGGGCATTCACTGGACATGGACCCAGTCTCGAATGCCTGGGCCAGTGGGTGTTTAATTGTTTACACAAAGTGTTGCAGTTCCAAGCAGGGATATCAAGAGAATCAGTATGGATGCAGCATTTAGAGAAGAGTTTTCCACATCCTTGCTATGTGCCTCCAAATGCAAACCGCTGGCTAGTTTGGGACTCTCCTTAATTTGTGAGGAAGGTTGAAAAAATCTTGGGTATAGCTCAGTGTAGGAAAATATTTTATTTTTACATCTTAAAATGTTATAACCAAACCAAACTATTTACCCAGTTTTAGTGCAAATACTGAGAAACAAAAAAGGGTCACAAAGTACTACAGAGTGGGAGCTGTTGGCTTTTCTTCTTCTATCACTTAATCTAAGCTTTTTGGACAAAACAGGGATAAATTATCTGCAGATTTTATTTTGAGATTACCTTAATACAGTTTCTTATAATTTCTGACTAAAGAGATCTTTAAATATTTTTGTAAACAAACTCTCCTAAGAAAATACACTTTCAATTGGATCACTAATTTCTATTTCAAGTAAGAAAGTGGAAAAGGGAACTGAGGAGTAACAGCAGTGGTTTAGCTATTGCCACTCAGGGAGGATATGCTCTTAATTACACACTGGAAAACTAACCACATGGCTCCTGTTGGCCTCTCCCTCCTATCCACACAAGAACTACAGTCAGCTCTGAGTTACAGTTTGCCAAGGTGATAAAGTACAATGGCAATGAGCTGTAGTGATGGGATAATGCTGTAAAATACTGCCATGTACTGTCTACCAGGTAACTGATGACAGGCCTAGGAGGGTGACAGTTTTTGAAAGTTACAACACCATAGTAAATAACACAAAAGTATACACTAACTTTAATGTGCACTACATATACTTTTGTGTATATGTAACAGAAGTTCTGTCTGAACCAACACGAGGTTACCAGAAAAGAGTAGTCAATGCTCTGTAGCTGGGGAAGCAACTCTCTCAAATTCCCAGCAACAGCAGCCTAAGTGAGAACTCACGTCTACACAGTAACAGTTGAGGGAATGACATTCACTAACACATAGTTGTTTTGCCAATTTCTTTAGAAATTTTTGTCTTTCAGATCTGACAAACTGAGCAGAAGAACAGTGCAAATTAAAGGACATTTTGAGAGAGCATGTGGATAAGGAAAGTTGATGCATGAAGTATTTACGGTAAATGGCACTGAGACCAAGTAGGGGAAAGTTAGAAGAAAAGCCATCTTGGTGGACATGAGAGGAATTTCAAAATAACTGAAAGACAATTTAGAAAGGTGAGGATTATTACTGGGCTTTTGACAAGGCATCAGTCCAGTTCCCCCTTGTACTTGAATCACCTCTTAGCTGTCTTTGGCCTGTATCTGTGCATGGTGTAACGCCAAAATTACTGAACATCTACCCTTGATCACAGAAAACGCTTTCATTGACTATTTCTTTCTGTACTGCAGAAGACAATGAGCCTCATTCTCTGATCTTTTCATTCTGTTTACTGTACTTGGATTATGTCAATGGGACATGCTAAGTTTTAACCCACTGAGGAAAAAACCCACATATTTATGTCCCTGCTCAAGCTACAAAAAGGGGGCTGCAAACTTTACAGGGTTATGCAGCACAGGGAAGGGACCTTCCACCCAAGTGACATCCCAGGTACAGCTGGGCAGGAGCTGTCACCCAATAAAGCATGTCAGCCATGCTCCCAATAAGAAAAGACACTGGCACAGAATCTACAAGGGAAGAAATGAGCTATTTTTTGCAGCTTGTTCTTTTTCATAGCATCTCTGCTTATATTAAAATATTTTGTTGTTATGATATGCTGCTGAATTGTTTCTGGAACATGCTGACAGTTGTTAGAGGATTGTTTTGTTCAGCATACCTGAAAAAGTTTATCATGCTACAGAGTTTGGGAAGATGCCTTAATTATATTTTTATGCCACAGTGAAAGATAATTTCATATCCCTATTTAATTATCAATGCAGAATGTTCTGCGATAATATATTATTATGTCTGAACTGTCTGAACCTGATGTTGTGATGGCTTAAAATAGCCTCCAGGGCAGATCAGTTGTGTGAAATGAAACTGGGACAATTCCTAAAAGCTCAAGAGGGACTGCAGATCTATTAGTCTTGGCAACAATGAAGTAGTTGGGATAAGGATGAACTTTGAAAAAGTGGAATAATTGTTTTTCCTAGTTTAAAGAAAAATGAAAGAAAAACATTTTGGTTTTTTTTTTTTTCTAATTTAGATTTCCAATCTTAGCAGAATTGGAAAAACAAGAAAGGATAGATGTACATCCTGTCATATGAGCAGATGAGCTGAAATTTTATTTCCGTATAACCTGCCCACCTGTGTAGGCATTTCAAAAGAGCGTTCTTTCACTTGACTGTCTGGACACTTAGCAACATCTGATACCTAATCATGGCCCCACCTTGTCCTAATTGCTTTTGTTTTGCTCATACTCGTTTTTTTTCTAATCAGGAGATAAAAATTTGGTTTCAACATTATATAAGGCGGCAGCATTTTGCTTGCTTGTAGGGACTGATGGAAAAGTTCGAGTTTCTACATCAACATCTATATTTAGGCATATAAAGGAGAGGTCTGTTTTTCCTAGAACATCTGCACTTTGTTACTTTGTCAACATACATGTATTTATCTGCTCTCCCAGTTCACAGAGGGTTTTCACCACCTATATTTTAAAGCACTTCTCTGTCCATCCAAGGCAAGCATCTGCTGACAGAAGTATGTAAACATGTCTTTAGAGAGCTCATCTCAAAAAAAAAAAAAAAAAAAAAAAAGTTCCAGAAATCACCAAAAAAGTACTCTAAGCATCTGCAGCCGCAGTGAAACTATGAGTGTCACGAACTAGAGTTTTCTCTGACAACTAGAAGAGCGCTGCGAAGAGCACAACTCGTCACACAGTATGACAGACTCGTCACAGTTATGACAGAGTTTTTAAAAATTATTTTTAACAGGCTGCGAGGTGGCAGAGTTGCGGCGGAGGGGCGACCCGGCTGACACAGACGCTTCGGGCTCGTTCTTCGCCCTCACGGCCGGGCCCGCTCTGCGCCTGCGCCGCCGAGCCCGCCGCGCCTGCGCACTGCCGGAGCGCGGGGCGGCCGCGGCGGGCGAGGCGGCACATGCGCCCTGGCGGCTGCTGAGGAGGGGAGGAGGCGCGGGGAGGAGCGGTGGCCGCGTTCTCCCATTTAGCTGCGAGGGAGCGGGAGAAGCCGGGCGGCCGCCGGGGACCGCCGGAGGGGGGTGGGTGGGGGGGGAGCGCCACTGTCGCTGCGGCCGCCGCTCCCTGCTCCTCCTCCTTCTCTGTGGAGCGCCCTCCACCCCGCCCTCTCCCCGCCCGGGACCGAGTCTGGTGGCCACAAAATGGCGGACGGGGAGCTGAACGTGGACAGCCTCATCACCCGGCTGCTGGAAGGTGAGCGGGGCGCCGGAACGCACCGCACCGCCGCTCCCCGCGGGCAGAGCCGGGGAAAGCGGTGCGGGGAAAGCGGTGCGGGGCAAGCGGGGGCAGCGCCTGCCCTGCGCCGCCGGCCCGGGGTGGCGGCCGGGAGCGAGCGGGCACCGGCGGGACGGGGAGAGCCGCGGCCCTGCAGCCCCGCCGAGGGAGGAGGGGCTGGTGTGCGCGGGGGGTGCCCGCCCTGTCTGGCTGCCTTCATATTTAATAGGAAAAAAAAAAATTTAAAAAAAAAAAAAGCTTCGTTTTCCGTCTTCTCGTCTTCACGCCGCTGCAGCTGCCTGGATGAGGGGAGAGATGAGCTCTTTTCGTCGCTAGCCGAGCCTTTTCCCCCTGCTCCCGCCCCTCCGGTCGGGTTGTAGTCGCAGTCCTCCGTGTGTGAAATTCCGTCTGCTCCCTGCGCTAGGTGTGGGGCTGTGTGTACGTGAGTGCCGGTGGGAGCAGAGGGATTGAGTGCGCTGGCATTCCTCAGCCTGCCTACGGGGCAGTCTCCAGAAGTGGCTCTCAAGGGTGGCTGATAAATTCTGTGGAGGGTTTTCCGTGTATTAAATAGCGATTCTGCCCTTTAAAGTAAGCTCACTTATTGCCTGCTTTTGGAGAAGCTGAAGAATTATTGCTAGCGTTTTCTTTTTATTTAAGCTATGTCGTGAATGTTTAGTCTTCGTGGGCCTCTTATTCCATTAATCTTTCATTCCACATTCAACAAATACCTGGTATGCTGGAGATGAGATGAGAGTACTTGCATGGGTATGCGCCGTTCATTTATTTAGTTGCTGTACTCCTTAGATAGTTGGATCACATTGCAGAAGGCTTATAGAAAGGAATTTATGGAGCACGTATAGTTTGGGAAGGGAAACAAGTTTTGTAAGGCTGAGTTTTGTTTAGTCGAGTTACTACAAAGCGGCGGTTTAGGGCTTTAAGGGCTTCTTAGTAGCTGCTATCTCATCTCTTTCGGCGTGAAAACGAAGAGCAGCAAAATCAATATTTAAGAGTACATAAAGTCTTTGAATAGTTGTTATGTTTGTGATTTAAGGTATGCAGTGTAGTATAGTATGAAGAAACAAGTATCAGTTGAAGTTTCTCTTAGATCGTTAATGCAGATAAACCTCCCTTTTTCTGGATGTTGAAATGCAGATTAATAGGTAGGTTTTAAAAACAAAGTAAATAATAACCTATTAAATGTTGACATTTTAGGGCAGGTTTGGAGGGAGACATTAAGATACGTGTATATTTATGGTTCTGGGATTTTTGAGACACTTTAAATAATATATTTGAAAGATACTTGTTCCACAATAGTGTAGTAATTTTAATATGGAGTGCTTTAGGAGGAGGGGATTTTGCATTGTTTTGGTGTGCAACTTGTTGGATTGTTCTGTTGCCTCTTAAAATATTGCTCTGCTTTTTTTTTTTTTTTCTGAAGACTTTTAAAATATGTCTTCCATACAGTTTGCATACACCATAAATATGTGTGTTGCAACATCTTAGCTTTATTGGATTATAGTTCTTACCTTATGTTTCAGCAGCCTACCCCGTGGTTTTTGTCTTCCATAGTACTTTAACCTTTTGGGATATATGTATGTACAACTTCTGAAGCAAGCCTTGCTTGTAATTTTTCTTTTCTGTTTCCGAGTCCATTTTTAACTCTAAGCAGAGATTATAATGATTTTTAAGGGGAATGAGATGCTTTCTTTCTGCTTGTCATCTGCTAACATTAGAGGAGTGCCTGGTACAAGATCTTGTATCTGAAACGTAATAGGTAATTCGTACAGGTTTTATTAAAAAAAATTGGCAGCAATTAAAGGAATGCATTGTGTCAATTATTTTTGCTTTCTTTTTAACATCTTTTATTTGTTGCACTGCTGGCATATAGCATTTTAACCTGTTGTTCAAACAGCAGTGTTCCACAATGAAGGTTGTTTTTTTTTTTTTGTTTGTTTGTACAATTGGCAGCTCGCATTCTGGAGCTCCTGCTGTTGCTTAGCTGACCTGTTCTGGTAAAGTGAGTATGAATCCCTCTCCACGCTGGTTGCACAGAAAAAATTCTGTTGACTCTTATCTCCAGTTAAATTGTTCAAAGCAAGTTGTTTGGCTCCATTACTCACATTTCAACTTTTACTTAAAAGGATAGGGAAACATGGCTTTTGTGGTGTGTTACCACAGTGAAATAATAAAAAGACATTTTCGCTAAATGTTGTCATGCAGTTTAGTCCTTTTGGTTACTTTAAGTGAAATGTATGGCTTTGTTTGAATAACAGTCTACAGTTGTCTCTCAGTGGCTGCTACATGTAATTCTTCAAGCGTAGAAAATACATATCAAAAGCTACAGCAGTAGGAAACTTCACTGCTGCCACTGGGTTGCTGGGTGGTGACACCTGTTTCTAGGCTGTGATATTAACTGTCAGGAATTCTTGCTCCTACTTGAATTAGGTTACTCTAACTGTTTTTATCCTTCTGGGTTATATGACACATTAACTTGCCTTTTGATTGGACTTGCCTACTTAGATTGTCTTGCTTTTTTGGGGGGTTTAATTGTGATTTTGATTTCTTTTTGAGATATCAATATGAAGTGGCCTACAGCTGGGCTGCTTGGGAGAATTGAAGAACATCTTCCCAGTCCTCAAGGAGGATAAGCCCACATGCTTATCTTGAATGTATACTTATTTTGTAGGTCTTTTGAATGCTGAAAGCCAGATCGATAAACTCTCGAGTTGAATTTTGAGAGAATTTTCATAGACTCACCTGAAGTAGTGATGTAATGGGTGTAATGAATGTTAATAGTCTTCTAGGACAGCAGCTTTTAATTTACATATTCTTTAGCTTTTAATTTCCATGTTATTTTGCATATACCATTTTCTTCTCCTCTGTTCATTGGTTAAGTGGTGAATTTATGAATGGTAAGATCTCATTTTGAATTGACTTTCTCTTGCAGTGGGTCTAGTACTTGGCCATTAGTTAGTGATATCTTATAAATAATTACTGCTTGGAAATGGTAGGCAGGTAAAAACTCAAATGTATACATGATGTCTGAACATAGCAATGTTTTCTTTTATTTTATCTCTGTCTACCAGGTACCATCTGCCAGATTTAAATTGTCATTCCTGTTGCTTTACTAGAAGAATGAGGGAGGTGCTGGTGCTCTGACATGTGTGCCTCTGTATCTTGGAGATACTCTGAATTTTACTGTCTGTCATAAGTGAATCTGCAAAGATTTGCAGGTCATTTAAATACAGAATTCCATAACTTTGCTAAAAGACTCTTAGAGTGATACGTGACCATGAAAGTGAATAAGCCAAATTGATGGAAAGAGTGTTTCCTTCTTGTGCTGCTATGCAGAATCACAG